TGGAACCACAGGCATGTGCCACCGTGCCTGGCTAATTTTTTGATTTGTTGTAGAGACCAGGTCTCACCATGTGGCTAAGGCTGGTCTCCAACCCCTGAGCTCAGGCAATCCTCTTTCCCCCGCCTCCCAAAGTGCTGGTATTACAGGTTTGAGCCACCATGTCCGGCCTCACTAATGTTAATTCTTTTTTTTTGAGTTGGAACCTCACTCCATTGCCCAGGCAGTTGGGTTCTGGTGATCCGTCTGCCAAAGCCTTCCAAGTAGCCAGAACTACAGGTGCGCTACCATACGCTGGCTAATTTTTCAATTTATTGTAGAGATGAGGTTTTGCCAAGTTGCCCAGGCTGGTTTCAAACCCACAGGCTCAGGCAATCCACTCACCTCAGCCTCCCAAAGGCACGGGATTACAGGCTTAGCCACCAAACCTGGCCTAATATCTAGTGGAGTAAGCCTGTACTACAAGGGATCACCCTTCAAACAAACAAACAAACAAACAAAAAGATACTTCCTGTTTTATTTTTTGAGTCCCCCTTGTATTTATAAAAAGTCTTAGGGAAAGTAAGTGCTGAGGACATCCCATAGAATGATGTACAGTTACAGATTTTATGGTTAAATTAACAATGGATTAATGACAATGACCTTTATCCAAATCCCGCTGTTTGCTGCTTTATAGATTTACATACAGAGAGTCAGAGACTCTGCTGCCCAAAGAGATTTTTCTCCTGAATTAGCTGCTCAGAGTCAGCTAACAAGAGCTACGATTTAATTCTGGGACTTTGACACCAAGATTTTTTGTTTTGTTTTTTGAGGCAAGATCTCACCCTGTCGCTCAGGAGTGCCGTGGCAAAATCACGACTCACTGCAGTCTCAACCTTCTGGGCTCAGGTGATCCTCCCACCTCAGCCTCCCGAGTCGCTGGGACTACAGATGTGCACCCCTACACCCGGCTAATTTTTTGATTTTTTTTTTTTTTTGTAGAGACGAGGTCTCGCCAAGTTGCCCAGGGGGGTCTTGAATTCCTGGGCTCAAGCAATCCTTCCACCTTGGCCTCCCAAAGTGCTGGGATGACAGGCATGAGCCACCATGCCCAGTCTGACACCAAGAGTTTAGCCGTACAGTAGCATTTTTATTAAAAAATTCTGCTTAAATATTTAAAACTTAATGGAAACTATTTGTTGATCTATTTCACCGAAAGAGGTTTGTCAATAACTTAAAAGTAGTTCAGCCGCGGTCATGAGAAATGGCCACTAGAGGTCAGCACTTAGCTGCTCTATGTGGTATAAAAAAATTCTACATATTTTTTTTGAGTTGGGGTGTCGCTCTGTTACCCCAGCGACAGCAGGAAAGCCGCTCACCGCAGCCTCAACCTCCTGGGCTCAGGCGATCCTTCCACCTCAGCCTTCTGAATAGCTGGGATACAGGTGCACCCCTCCACGCCTGGCTAATATTCTGATTTTTTTGGTCGAGACTGGGTCTCACCATGTTGCCCAGGTCTTGAACTCCTGAACTCAGGCAATCCTCCCGCCTAGGCCTCCTAAAGTGCTGGGATTACAGGCTTGAGCCACCACATCTGGCTTGATTTCTCTTAATTCTTTTTTTTTTTTTTTTGAGGTGGAGTCTCTGTTGCCCAGGCTGGCTCACAGCCAGGCTCACGGCCACTGCTGCCTCAACCTGCTGGGCTCTGGCGATCCTTCTACCTCAGCCTGCCAAGTAGCTGGAACGATAGGCGCATAGCTACCATGCCCGGCTCATTTTTGATTTATTGTAGAGATGAGGTCTCGCCAAGCTGCCCAGGTGGGTCTCGAACCCGTGGGCTCAGGCAATCCTCTCTCCTCTGCCTCCCAAAGTGCGGGGATGACAGGTTGAGCCACCGAGCCTGGCCTTTCTTGTTCTACACCAGGTTGCCTGGCCACATGAACACTCTCCTCGCCTTCCCGGAGCTTTGATCCCTGCAGGGGTCACCCACCCCGCCTCGGCCCTGATCCTGGTGTCCTTCTGTGTGTGGGCCACCTCTCTCCTTTTCTTCCTCGCTTGCGTGGGTTTACCTGAACCCCTGGGGAGAGCAGTGGCCCTGGCCTGCTCTGAGAGCTGCAGCGAATTCAGTCCAAGGTCCAGGCCTCAAGGCTCACTCAAATCAATCCCACATCAGGGAAATGCAAATTAAAACTACAATGAGATACCACCTTACACCAGTCAGAATGGCTATCATTTAAAAATAAAAAACCAGTAGATGCTGGTGTGAATACAGTGAAAAGGGATTGTTTATACACTGTTAGCAGGAATGCAAATTAGTACAACGTCTATGGAAATCGATATGGAGATTTCTTAAAGAGCTAAAAGCAGCTCTACCATTTAAACCAGCAATCCCACTGCTAGGCATCTGCCCAAAGGAACAGAGTTCACTATGTTAAAAAGACACGTGGAGCCAGGCTCGGTGGCTCAGCCTGTAATCCCGCGCCTTTGGGAGGCTGAGGTGAGTGGATTGCATGAGTCCGCGGGTTCGAGACCCGCCTGGGCAGCGAGACCTCATCTCTACAATAAATCAAAAAATCAGCCGGGCGTGGTAGCGCATGCCTGTAATTCCGGCTACTCAGAAGGCTGAGGCGGAAGGATCACCGGAGCCCAGCAGGTCGAGGCTGCGGTGGCCGGAAGCGGCCACTGCACTCCAGTCTGGGCGACAGAGTGAGACTCCAACTCAAAAAAAAAAAAAAAAAAAAAAAAAAAGACACGTGGACTCGCATGTTCATTGCAGCACGATTCACAGTTGCAGAGACGTGGAAGGAACCTAAATGCCCATTAACCAATCCATGAATAATGAAATAGAGGTCTATATACGCACCATGAAATACTCTTCAGCTGTCAAAAAGAATGAAATAATGTATTTTGCAGCAACTTGGATGGAATTGGAGAATATCATCCTAAGTGAACAGAAAGTCAAACACTGCATGTTCTCACTTATAAGTGGGAACTAAACTAAGGATCTGCAAATGCATAGAAAATGGTATAGTGGACACTGGAGATTCAGAAGGGAGTAGAGAGATGAAAAAAATCACCTATCAGATACAATGTGCACAAGTAGAAGTGGGGGGTACAGTTAAAGCCCAAACTTCTTCACTATTCAATGCAACCACGTAACCTAAACCTATTTGTACCTACTAAAACTACTGAAGTTTTTAAAAAAATGTAATAGAAAGTTTTAAAAAGCAAAAAAAAAGAAAAATCAATTCCACACACTCTGATAAGTTCATCCTAACTTGGGAGGAGAGGGTGGGCTGGAGCTTTCTCTGGGCCTGGGTGTTTCCCCTTCATGTGGATGGTCTTCACCCGGGGCCCGAATCTCACTTCTACTCTCCTTCTGGTTGCTGGTGCTTGCTGGGGGCTGAGCCAAGCCCCCCTGAGCCTCCCGGGCTCCCAGCCAGCGGGGCCATGTCCGGCTGGAATGTGCACTCCTGGGATGCTTGTTCAAAACTCTGGGTGATGCAGCCGACGGGGATAACCCAACGGGGCACCACCTCGCTCTTCATCCCAACGGGAAGGACTGGAAAAGGCACCCTGAGTCCATGGCGGGCGGATGGCCTCCCGCCCTCCCTGTAGCTTGACTGTGCCATCGGCAAGCTGTCATCCTGTCACCTTTCACACGTTTTCTCTGGGGAGGAGGGATTGGATCCCATCACTGGAAGTGGAGACTGCTGGGGCTGCAGAGAGGACTGGTGGCTACGGGAGCCGGGGAAGGGATGCACTCCAAGTGTCCTGCTGGGGTGAGCTACAGGGTTTTCTTTCAGGGCATCCTGGTCCACTCATGGGAGTGTCTGAGGCTCCCCAGAGATGGCTCCAAGGTTGGGTGGAGGGCCCAGGTGGCAGCTGCAGGTCTGGTGCCCTGGACGTGTGTGACAAGTGTCTTTGCCACCTTGGTGGGTGAGAGAGGCTATCTTCTTGTTTTAATTTGCACCAGAAATATCTAATATGTTCAAGAGGGGATCCCCGACCACCGGAGTTATCTTCTGGAGGGTGGGCCTCTTGCAGTACTGGCTTCTGCCCAACCGTGGGGAAGTGTTCTAGAAACCCATCGGCACCCGTGGACCAGCTAGTGTTGTTGTGAGAGGCTGTGTTTGACTTCAGTGAATTTTTTTTTTTTTTTTGAGTGGGAGTCTCACTCTGTCGCCTAGACTGGATTGCAGTGGCCGCTCCCGGCTACCACAGCCTCAACCCACTGGGCTCCGGCGATCCTTCCCCCTCAGCCTTCCGAGTAGCCGGAATTACAGGTGCGTGCTACCGCGCCCGGCTAATTTTTTGATTTATTGTAGAGATGAGGTCTTGCCAAGTTGCCCAGGCGGGTCTCGAACCCGCGGGCTCAGGCACTCCACTCACCTCAGCCTCCCAAAGGCACGGGATTGCAGGCTGAGCCATCGAGCCCAGCTAGTGAATTTTTTTTTAGATTCTTTCAGTGCATTTGCCCATGGCATGATGGATGATTTATGAGTGCACCTGCCCACACCTGGTTACCAACTGAGTGGTCATCGGTTTTTGACAAAAACCACTGGCTAAATTCTTGATATGTTGTAGAGATGAGGTCTTGCCAAGCACGACCCCCAGGCTCCACTCACCCTGTTCACCAGAACCTGCCCTGAGTGACTTTTTTCCATTTCCGTGGATGAAAAAAGTCCTCAAAGGGAAATATTTTGCCGATGTGGAAAAAGAGGTGAAACAAAAAAATGGCAGAAGCACTAAAAAGCATCCAAATGGACGAGTTCAACCACTGTTTTGAGCAGGGGAAAAAGCATCTTGAAGGTGTACTGCATCCAGCAGAAAGGACTTGGATGGTAACTGACGTTTAAGCATGTAAGAATAAATACACAATTTTTAATAAATCGATTCCGGGTTTTTTGGGGTCCCCTCTTGTATATGTTATTTTTTAGCAAGTAGTTTTTCCTGGTGCCATTTTTCTCAGTCCTCTGATGTGATATCCCTTCTCTTTAATTATTAAGCTTTGTCGTTGACAGCTACCACAATGTTTGAAGCGGGAAAGGACAAGGGGAACCCAGATGAGTTTGCCGTGGCTCTTGATGAAACTCTCGGAGACTTTGCGTTCCCGGATGAATTTGTCTTTGACGTCTGGGGAGCCATTGGTGATGCCAAGCAAGGATGATGATGACATGGGCGGCCTGTCACTGAAGCAAGGGACCATATTCTTTTCAAAAAGGCCTCATGATGACCTGCTCTTGGACGCCTTTGTGAACCCTGGCTTAGTGGCATGTGTATGGAACGCAGTCTTTGAAATATAATTTTGATTTCTGAGTCCTTTTTAATGCAGTTGCTTATGCCATATGCTTCGGGTAAATTGCCTAAAATGTGATCAATTTTCATACTCATTCAACAGTTTTTTTTTTTTTTTTTTTTTTTGAGTTTGAGTCTCACTCTGTCACCCAGGCTGGAGTGCAGTGTCTCAATCATGGCCACCACAGCCTCAGCCTCAACCTGTTGGCCTCAGATGATCCTTCTGCCTCTGCCTTCCAAATAGCTGGAACCACAGGCGTGCACCACCACATCTGGCTAAATTCTTGATATATTATAGAGATGACGTCTCGCCAAGTTGCCCAGGCTAGTCTCGAACCCCTGGGCTCATGCAGTCCTCTCGCCTCACCCTCCCAAGGTGCAAGGATTACAGGAGGGAGCCACCACACTCGGCCCGTTCAACAGTTTTTTTTTTTAACAGAAAGTTTTTTTTAAAGATTAGAAAATATAGTTTATTTAGAAAGTAAATTAGGGAGAGCTAGAGAAGATTCTCCTCCCCAAGGTAGGGGAGGGGGCCAAAGCTTAGGAAAACATAGCTCAAAGAACATAAGACCAGACCGGAGCCTGGTAAGGCAGTGGCCGACAGGAAGTTTTAGGGAGTATTTCTGGATGATGCTTTTGCTCTCACTAATGCCCATGCTTTTGTTTTCCGCATATAATAGTTGATTGCTATATCTGTTGTTTTCTTCCGCAATAGCTTGATGTAATGAGAATTAGAATTGGAATATGATTTGTTTCACAGCGTCTCTTCATTTTGTCCTGTGAGTCTGTTCAAGGTGTGTTTAGGAGATGAAATATGAATTACGTCTCTCCTGGGTCTAGATGCTTTTTTTTTTTTTAATCCACTGAGTGAGGGAAGGAATATTGCCACGGACTATTGGTTTCTCTGGCTCCCTTTCACTCTTCGTGCAACAAAGATTGATGATTTTCTTTCTTGCTTGTTTGTACCTGCTCTTGAAACTTGTGGTTGAAACCTATTGCATGTATGTGTGTTTGATGAAAACGAGGTAGGTACGGACAACCACTTGCACTTGGGTTTTTTTTCAGTTCTTAAGACCCTGCTCTTTTTTTCATTCATTGCTACAGTTATATTAGTTTTTATAAGCACTCCAGAGGAGATTTTATTATTATTTTTCTGAGTGATATTTACTCAAAATGACTATATTTGGAATTTTTTTTGGGGGGGCGGCTTAAACAGCCTTTTCCAGCCCCCTAAACTCTAGAGGAGACACTTTAAGAAATAGATTTCCTCCCAGTGGAAATAAAGGAGTGAGGTTTGAGATAAGAGTCTATTACTTTAGCGTTCTAACACTCCCTCTAAGCCTTACATTATTGAGAAAATTGAGGGTGAGTGACTCTCCTATCAGTCTTATTTGACATTTTTCAGATGAAAGAGAAATGGACATGAGTGGTTTCCACACAGATCATTTAAGAAGGCAGAGCGTGGTGTGACCGAGCGTCATCCCACAGTGTTAGATGGAAAATGCTGTGAGCGGTTGTGGCCATCAGAAAGAATCGCCAGGGCGGGTGTGTTCAAGGAGATCAGGAGCTTCCTGTTCATGCTTTGTTATTGCTTAGATAACGCTGTTGCTTTCTGGTGAAACTTGACCTTTACGGACACCTATGCCCCTCACATACTTTTAATGCCACAGAGCTGATATTCTCTGTCATATTAATTTGAAACCTGCTCTGAAGTGGTTTTAGTTATGCATGTAGAACAAAAGTAGCTTATAGACTATAGATTGTCTTTTTTTTTTTTTTTTGAGCTGGAGTCTCACTCTGTTGCCCAGCTGGAGTGCAGTGGCACCATCACCACTCACCGCAGCCTCGGTCTCCTGGGCTCATGTGATCCCTCTGCGTCAGTCTCCTAAATAGCTGGGACTACGGGTGTGCACCACCACACCGGGCTAAGTTTTGTATTTTTTGACAAGATCTCACGTTGTTGCCCAGGCTGATCTTGGACTCCTGGGCTCAAGTGTTTCTCCCACCTTGGCCTCCCAAAGTGCTGGGATTACAGATTCCACCCATGCTCTACCTGGATTATTGGTCTTTTGCATCATTTAAAAATATCATCCAGCTCAGGTTGTCATTTGTTGGTACTTATTTAGGGGGCTTTGGAGGTTCCAAAATACCTACTAATTCTTAATATCACTTTTCTAAGAAAGGCATAAAAAAAGAGCTGACATTTTTAGGGATAGAAAAGTTATTGGATACTTGGGAGGCTCATAGAAACATTTTAATTTAAAAGGAAAAAAAAAAGGATCAATTTCTCAGCACTACCTATTTGATTTGAATTGAGTTATTTTTTATTATTGATGGATGTCAGTTTCTCCTTCCTTTTTGGGCATGCATGGAGACCGAAACTTGGTGCCAATTCCCTGTGATTCATGGAATGCCACATTCACAAGGATCTTTTTAAATTTTTGCATGTATGGTGCCAGTATCCGTGCATGTTGTAACTACACATGTGTGTTTGCATTCAGAGGACTGTAATCATTACTAAGGGTGACAGCTGGGCCCAAGAACTTTCTTATGCTACCTGTAAGAGGTTTTTTTCTTGAATGGTTATTATCTCTCACCTCTATTGCTAAACTGATACCAAAGTCTGATTCTTTATGTCGTTTGTTCCGATACCTAAAAATGCATCTAACTGTGATTCTTGTGCTTGTCTATACCTCTCAATGCACAAAAAGGCCTGCTTTTAGTGCAGTCACATCATCTCTAAGTGTGAGCTACCCTTCTGTTGCTTTAAAGAGGCAAATCATCTGTTTTCTAAACCTTCCATTGTCTTGGCACCACTAGATGTCTTCAGGACTCTGCCATTTTCTTTTGTCCTGTATCTTTTGTTCAGTGGAGGATGATTATCTTATGTGTTCCTGATTTTCTTCCATTAATACAGCATCTTCTTTCAGCAGCCATTGAGAATGCACAATGGATTTTCCTTGATTGTGACAGAAAACGCAGCAGATAATTGAATGTCGGGTTCAATGGGACCTTGAACGTAACTGGGTCCCGATCAGATGTGCACATTCTGATAATTATAAATAGGTACATTTTGGGATTCTATGGCGTTTTGAAAATATAATTATGTAATTTTGTTGTGTGAAACTCTTTAAGAATTCAATCATAAAGGCAGTAATCAGTTAAGTTCTGTTTGGAGCTGCTCATCCCATCTTATAATGTGACTGGTAATTAACTAGAGAGAGAGAACTTCATTTTTTCAGGTGATATATAATTTGTAATAGTTCCTCCTGTAACATTAGCAAATAGACATTTTCCAGGAAAGCACACTTTATCTAGTGCCATGTAATTTACTGCCAGACTTTTATCATATCTGGAGGCTTCCTTGGTCTCTTTTAGTTACCCTGCCTGTCTAGCACGGGAGCAAAATGAATTTCATCAGCAAAATGGAGTTTTCAACATAATGGTTCTTCTAAATAGAGCACGGTTATCAGCCAAGATGTAAAAGATTGATTCTATAATGGCCCTTTCACTATCTGATTCATCTAAAAATACATGGCTACCAGTAGCATGGCTATTACTCCGGTGAAGACACTGAGTTAGAAGGACAGCTGAGTGCTTTACCCCAGCTTTCAGTGAATACAGAGATAGGAGATGATATTCAACTCACAGTGCCAGGTATTAGTGCCCTTGTAAAATGCACATTTATTATCTTCTTGACACAATCGAAAGGGGTAGAGTAATTACAAGTTCTTATGCCTATCATGTTTATAACATGATTCTAAAATTGTGAAGTGTACAATAGGACACAGTCTGTCCCTACTTTAGTACCTGAAAACCTCGTTCTAAGAAATGACTCATGGCCATCTGCCGAGAGAGTGAAAATTGAATATGACATCTTTATTTCAGCTGGAGACATGAGTCTCTGTAAGACTCAGATATAGTCATAGATACTTTTCAAGCAGTAACAAAAAGGAGAAATTGCAAACATTTCATAAAGGTAGTTTGAGTAAACATTTAGTATTTTGAACTATTTGATGAGCAATTGTATCGACTATAAATAGACAAAACATTCACCTTTTTGGGGGAAAAAAGGTTTTTCTTTTTTATAAAAAGAATAGCATTTACTTGACAATGTTTTCTGTGAGATTGAAATTTAAGAATCAGTTAATATATGAAATTATAAATTATATTTTGATATTGTTCTAAAATGTATTATTTAGGCTGTCACTATGCTTCCTGGCTTTGGCCTCCCTCCCACCTTGGGGAGGTGAATCTTCTCTTTCTCTTTCTCTAATTGACTTTGAATAAACTATATTTTCTAATCTAAAAAAAAAAATGTATTGTTTACTATATTTCTACTTATAGATGTATACATTTATCACATATTGATCAAAAAGCGAATTATTTTTAAAGCTGTCCTTTTATGTTTCTTATATTTAAAAAATGACTCCTTAAAATAAAAACCTTTTTATGAAAAAAGTGATGAATATTTTTGTTGTATAAAGGCTGGGGTTTTAACAATTTTAGACTTTTAAGATGTTGCTTAAAGAAATGAGAGGACTAGCAAATGACTGTCCAGACCTTTATGTTTTTTAACATATCTTTGGTATTGTCTTCTTAATGTATTTCACACAAGGTATTAACTCTAAGAGCTTTCTAGCTTTAAATTTTAAAATTATTTGCTCTGATTCAGTAAAAATGCATAGCTGTGCCCTGCATAGTACTCTAAGATAAAATAGTCATAGACTGTTTCTGTGATAAGATAGGAGTTTACCCAGGGTGGCACTTTTTTATTCCTTCATTCAACAAATTTCATATCAACTCTTAGGTAGTTATGCCTTCTGGGTGTATTTTCTTCTTGATACAGATTGAAGGCCCTTACTAGCTATTAGAAATTCTTACAAATGTCACGCTAATTCCATGGGATTAGCATGTTT